GGGGGGGGGGGGGGGGGGGGGGGCTTCTCTGCAACCTCTGCGGCTTGAGCGCCTAGGAGAGCTGCCTAGCAGGCTCTTGTTGGCCACAGGCCTGTGCTGCATGCATTCCAGCCTGTGCATTTTGGCAGGAGGACATTTTTTTCTTCTAATTTAGTGATGAGGGGCCAGTTAGTGTTTACGATGAGGTTTCTGCAAGTCTTTATCATGCTCTTGTAATTTTACAGCTTTAGATGAAACAGTCCAAATATTAGCCTGAGGGAGGCCTGAGCTGCTTTCAGATGTCATGCGCTTCTGGGCCGACGAAAATCACATTTGCTTACATTTATCAGTCAGTAGGCACTCACGTAGTGTATCTGACCCCAAAGAGAAATGTCAGCATGTTCCCTGGATGGCTGTCTGCTCCTCTCTGTTGGAGGTTTGAGGTTTGAGGCGAAGGCTGTTGGGATTTAGATATTTAAGAAACCATTAGATTGCTATGCTAGGCAAGGAAGAACTTAATTGTAGCCAGAAAACAAATAAAACGATTGCACCTGCCAACAAACATGTTTTAAGCATCTATTATGCTATAAGGTCCAGGGACATGGACCTTACATGGACAAAGGTCCATGAAAATCATTCTATTACTGGTAGGCTGGAGCAGTTGTTTGCAAACTTCTAAAAATGTTTTTATTAGTGGGTGTTTGCAGTACATAGTGATTGCATTCAGTGTGGGGAGCTGGTACATGTACATAATTTTGTGTTAAGCATGAGAATCCTTTCTGCAAATAAGCCATAGGTGGAGGCTCGGCCTGTGACACAGTTAGGAGCCAAGCTGTTCTGGCAGAAGCCTCAGAGGCACTGGTACAGAAAGCTGGCATCTACACCCAAGTGGGACAGTGGTTTTCAGCCATACCTGACCATTAGAATCCTCCGCCTATTTTTTCAAAAATCCTGACATCCTCTTTATACTCCCACCAATCTCAGAACTTGGGGCCCATCCTCAGACATCGACAGGATTCCAATCCAGGTTATTTGAGTCTGGAGGTGTCTCTTTGGAAGCTCGAGTTTCCATGGAAGAGAATTTGGGAATCAAACATCGTATAGATGTTTCCAAGTTTGGTGAGCACATTCGAGAGCCTCTTGTGGTCAGATTGGATGCCTTGTTAAAAAGAAAGCTGCCAAGTTCCCACCACCTTCTCTGCCTAGGGGAGACTCCGATTTGTATGTTGCTGGTGTGTTCTAGGTGGCTTCATCTTAAATGGTCCTGGTACAGCTCAGGGTTGAGAAGCACTGCTCGGGAGCTCAGATAGGATATGCATAGTAACATCCTCAGTGCACAGCAGAATGATGCAATAGCAGTGATAACAGCTGCTGTTCTAGGCATGTCTGTGGTGTGGGTGAGAGCTCAACCCAGAGGACGCTGCCCATGCTGTGTGAGTGAAGTCAGAGGGACAGCACAGAGCTTGGAGAATCAGGGAGGACCACGCACAGAAGCTAGGATTTGGACCCAGCCTTGGTGAATAAATAGAATTCGCCTAGCTTGGAATGTGCCTGGGGACCTCTTGAGCCTACTTGTTTCTGTATCAGGCCTTTGTCTCTTTCAGACACACCCATGCCCACTAGGACTCTCAACTTCAGAAGCCATGCCAGTCTTTATCAGAGCGCTCCCAAGGAAAACGCAAACTTCTCTGAGCCTCCATGGGTTCATCTTTCAAATGAGAGGAATAATCCTACCTATCCTTTGGGGTTGTTGTGGAAATAAGTGCTATAGTAGTACATTTGCATTGCTTGGTTAGTAGAAGCACAATAAAATGTGGCTTTAACTCCCTTTATGGGTCTGGAGGCTGATCTTAGTGTGAGAGAGGGTCCAGCAGGACCCCAGTGCAACAGGCGGGGTAGGTGGGAACGAGGGCCTCACTGGAAGACAGCCACAAGGGAGGTGCCATCCAGGCGGGCAGAGATCTAGGTAGCACAGCCCACGTACAGCGGAGGTCAGAGGGCCTGGGCTCCCTGGCTTGCTCCTTCTTGGTGT